TGATCGACCTGCTACTGAGGTTAAAAGCAAAAATACCACAAAATCAAATCAAACAAATCAATAAACCTGCTCGAGCTATCTGTAATGAGCATGATCGACCTGCCACTGAGGTCAAAAGCACAAATACCGCAAAACTAAATCAAATAAACCATTGATCTGCCCGAGTTATCTGTAACGAGCTTGATCGACCTGCCACTGAGGTTAAAAGCACGAATTCCACAAAACCAAATCAAATAAATATCATTAACATGCTCGAGTTATCCGCAACGAGCTTGATCGACCTGCCACTGAGGTTGAAAGCACGAATTCCATAAAACATAATCAAATAAATATCATTAACCTGCTCGAGTTATTCGTAACGAGCTTGATTGACCTGTCACTGGGGTCAAATACACAAATACCAAAAAACCAAATCAAATAGAACCATTAACCTGCTCGAGCTATCCGCAATGAACTCCATCGACCTGCCACTGAGGTCAAAGACACAAATACCACAAAACCAAATCAAATAGAACCATTAACCTGCTCGAGTTATCCGTAATGAGCTCCATCGACCTGCCACTGAGGTCAAAGACACAAATACCACAAAACCAAATCAAATAAGGCCATTAACCTGCTCAAGCTATCCGTAATGTGCTTCATCGACCTGCCACTGAGGTCAAAGACACAAATACCACAAAACCAAATCAAATAGAACCATTAACCTGCTCGAGCTATCCGTAATGAGCTCCATCAACTTGCCACTGAGGTCAAAGACACAAATACCACAAAACCAAATCAAATAGAACCATTAACCTGCTCGAGCTATCCGTAATGAACTCCATCAACTTGCCACTGAGGTCAAAGACACAAATACCACAAAACCAAATCAAATAGAACCATTAACCTACTCAAGCTATCCGTAATGTGCTTCATCGACCTGCCACTGAGGTCAAAGACACAAATACCATAAAACCAAATCAAATAGAACCATTAACCTGCTCGAGCTATCCGTAATGAGCTCCATCGACCTGCCACTGAGGTCAAAGACACAAATACCATAAAACCAAATCAAATAGAACCATTAACCTGCTCAAGCTATCCGTAATGTGCTTCATCGACCTGCCACTGAGGTTAGGAAAAAATATTCAATAATACCAGACCAAATAGAACCAAGTGGAAATCATCGACCTGCCTCCGAGGTCTGCTCGAGCTATCCATGTCTTCGCACTTTCCCACCCAAGCCGAGGAATGTTCGAAACAGGAGGTCAACCTGCCCATCCCAAGGGGTGTACTAAACAAGCAACCACCCAGCCCAGAGGCCTTAATCATGGTGGATTTTGTCTCCATACTGCTCGAATTATCCATAATGAACTCCCTCAACTTGCCACTGGGGTTAGAAACAAATATACGATAATACCAGACCAGATAGAACCAAGTAGAAATAATCGACCTGCCTCCGCGATCTGCTTGAGCTATCTGTGTCTTTGCACTTGCCCACCCAATCCGAGGGATGTTCGAAACAGGGGGTCAACCTGCCCATCCCAAGGGGTGTACTAAACAAGCGACCACCCAACTCGGAGGCCTTAGTCATGGTGGAATTTGTCTTCAGGCACTTGCCGACCCTGGGGGGGCCTTCCGAAACAAGCGACCACCCAGCCCAGAGGCCTTAGTCATGGTGGACATTTTTTCTTCAGGCACTTGCCCACCCAATCCGAGGGATGTTCGAAACAGGGGGCCAGCCTGCCCATCCCAAGGGGTGTACTAAACAAGCGACCACCCAGCCCGGAGGCCTTAGGCATGGTGGAATTTGTCTTCCGGCACTTGCCGACCCCGGGGGGCCTTCCGAAACAAGCGACCACCCAGCCCAGAGGCCTTAGTCATGGTGGATTTTTTTTTTCAGGCACTTGCCCACCCAATTCGAGGGATGTTCCAAACAGGAGACCAACCTACCCATCCCAAGGAGTGTACTGAACAAGCGACCACCCAGCCCGGAGGCCTTAGTCATGGTGGATTTTTTTCTTCGAACCTTCGACCTGCCACTAAGGTCAAATGGGAACACATCGAGCAAAAAGATATGATAGTAATTTGTCATTTTCGTTAGTTCCATAATATTCATAATTATATTAAGCAAGAAAAAGAATCAAGCATATTTTTCGACCTCCCTTTCTTGGTTGTACGTGATGACTTGTGCTCGAATTCTTCAACCTGCCACTGAGGTCGGAAAGGAAAACATCGAACACAACAAGTTATGATAGAAATTTCTCATTTTCGTTAGCGTCACCAAATGCATAATGACATCAAACAAGATAAAGAATCATGATATTATTCGACCTCCCTTTCCTGTTTGAACACGACGACCTGCGCTCGAAGTTATCGAACTGCCGTCCATTTCCTTTATGCAACCAAGCAGTCCGTGTTGTATCTAGATATCCAGTCCATATGCTCCTGTGTTTTTCTCAGCAAGCACTCAACAAATCTCATTAGTCATATTTTATCCACGTCATCTAATTTGCAATCCTCCACGCAAGAAAAATAATATATCGAATGTCAATATTACCATTTCCTCGAATTTAAGACATGCTCGAGCAATGACAAATATTACCCATGGTAATTCGATAGATGCACCAAACACATGCCAAACACAATTAATAAAATATCCTCAATCCAAAATCATGACCCGCATTCATTTTCGATCAAATATATCAACGAACAAATCAAACAATCCCTCGAGCAAATCGTATAATCATCCACAAATAAATCCAATAATCCCCAACAACTCCAATATATCCACGAACAAGATATATAATATCTCCTCAAACAAAACAATGTCTCCTCGAACAAATCAAATATCACTCCGAACAAAATAATATCTCTCATATCCAATCAAGTAATCGCCTCAATTAAGTCAAATAATTTCAACGGAAAAGTCGCATGATCCTCATGAATTAATTAAATAATGTATCCTCGATCAACCCAAATAATATCCACGCATAAACCACATAATCCTCCACGAATAAACCAAGTAGTTTCATGAATAAGTCCAATATTACCACGAACATATCAAATGATCCAACGACTAAATCAAGTGTCTTCACGAAAAACTCATATAATTTATCCGCGAATAAACCAAGTAATATTTTCTCGACCAAATCAAGTAATGCTCCACAAATAAATCCAATCAAATATATCCACGAGTATATATCAAATAGCTTTCCAACGTTCACCAATTCTAAAAATCCTTCGGTCTCTAAATTTAAATTAATCACATACCTTCCACCATGAGAATGCTATTTCAAATTTACCATGGGCTCACCATTCGCGTGGAATTGTCCCCAAATTGCTATGGGCTCAAAACGAGGCTGTTAGACTAAGTTGGGCAGGTTTGGAGTACTTCTAAACCATCTAAACTAATTTGGAGCCGTTTGGGCGCGGTCTGGGCCGCGTAGGGGTGGTTGTGTCGCGGTATTGGGCCTGGTAGAGGCTGGGAAGAAGCGGGCTGCGCGCTGGAGTATTGGGCTGCTCGCGGAACAGAGCTGGGCCGAAGTTTGGGGCTGGACGCAGGCTAGAGATGGGTTGGGCGCGGGCTGGAGCAACAAAGCGCGGGCTGGAGTGTCGGGCCCTCGCGGGCCGAAGCTGTGAGAGGAGTGTGGGCCGCGCGGGCTGGGCGCGGCCCGCGCGTTGTGATGGGCTGGATTTCGGCTGCAGGGCCTTTTGTTGGGAAATTTGTTGGGCTCCTTGATGGGCCTCGTCGCTGGGATCGACCATTTTGTTGGGTTGGAGGGCGCTGGGCCCGTGAGAAGAGAAACCTGGACCTGTACAGAGCTGCGGGAAGAACGAAAACAGGAGCAGCTCACCAAAATATGCCGTCGATCGAGCTCACCGACTCCGGCGAGAGTGACCAGCCGAGAACGCGTCTCAACGAGGAGAATCTGATGGTGCTATTGGTTCGAAGTAGTTCGACAGAAATCGACTGGAAAATAGAAAAAACGACCGAATTTTGACCAAATTTTATGTAGATCTCAAAACTTTGACCGACCAATTGATGGACTTCCCAGAGGAATTTTTGCACCAAATTTTAAGAGTAGAACGAGCATGAGGAGAGCTTCGTGATGATGTAAGAATTTTTCAGATCGGAGGATCTTTTGTGGCGGTCGGCGGCGGAGGAGGTGGCGGCCGACGGCGGAGGACGGCGGCGTCTGACGGAGGTGTAAACCTGGAAACTTGTCTCGTCGAGAGAATTCCAGTGGTACCTTCGGATTTTACATAGCCTTCTCGGATCGTTGGGAAAATGCATTTGAATGCCCGATTTTGATCGATTTCATGTTAGACCTGGAAACTTTGACCGCGAAATTGAAGGTCTTCCCGAATGAATTTTTGCATGAATTTTAAGGGTAGAATCACTTCAAAGAGATTTTTCTAATGATGCAAACGATTTTCCGATCGGATCACGTTTTCCGGCAGCCGGCGGTGGAGGTGGCGGCCGACGGCGGCGGACGGCGGGTGGAGAAGAAGGAGGTTTTTCAATTTTTTCAGTCGGAACTCCGCTCGACTTTTTTTATGGGTCCCACAGACGGCGCCAACAATACGAGTGTAATGAATTTCACCCGACTCCTTCAACTCGAATGGCGGCCTCCGATGCTTAAGTCAGTGCTCAGATCAAGAGAGAGAAAGTGTAGTAATGAAATGAGGAGAGAATAGAGAGAATGAGGTACCTTATCCCCCCTTTTATAGGGGGAGTGTACCTTTGTGGGCTCAAGTTGGGCTTGACCCATATCATGATGCTTAGTCCATACGTGGGCTTATCCTCCAATATATATATTCGTTTTCTCCATTAAACCGGGTGTAGTATAATATCATATATCACACACCATTTATTGTGTCCATTTTTACCATTGACAATACTTCCCATGTTATTTAACCGTCATTTCCCAAATGTTGTTGTTCTTTCTGTAATATCTTTATCTTAAAAATGCAATACCAATCTTTTGTGCAAAGCTATTGTCAAAACATGTACTACCATGGACTATTCATGTACCCAAGAAAGTGGGAGAGTTTCCTCCTCCCAAACAAGACACCGTGTTTGGAGTCCGACTGAGAAGGCTGCCCTTGTAGATATATTGAAAGACATGGTGAATGAGGGTTGTAGGGCAGACGGGTTTAGGCAAGGTTATAGTTTCGAGATTGAAAGACGATTGAAGTTGAAGTTTCCAAATTGTACCCTTTGTGCAGACCCTCACATAAGCTCAAAAATACATGTGTGGAGGAAGAACTACGTGAGTGTAGCACTCATAAAAGGTAATTTAGGCTTTGGGTGGAACGAGATCACAAAAACATTTTCGTGCGATGATCCTGTATGGATAGTGTGGTTAAAGGTATGAGTCCAATGAAACGTGACCGTTATGATTGAGATAAAAAAGAAAATAAAATAAAAATTCATCTCTTAAACAAATGTGTGTGTATATCAATAACGTAGGTAGATCCAAATGCAAAATCCCTCCGGAACAAGTCCTTCTCCTACATCAACGATTGGGCAGAAATATTTGAGAAAGACAGAGCAACGGGCGAAAATGCACAAGCCTTTGATGATGCCGCCAGTGGCGAACTTAGGTGCAGTGATAGGGGGCAATTGCCCCCCTCAAATATTAATTTTTTTCACTATTAGTATTACTAATTTTAATTTGCCCCTCTTTAAATTTATTTTTGCACCCTTGATTTTTTGTTTTTAAAAGTCACTCACCAAGCCAACTTGTCCGTAATTGTCAATTAACAATTAAACATTTCTTTTATTTAACTATTAATTTTGTATATTAAATATTATACTTCTACACTTTTAATTGACCCATATAAA